TCCAGACCTTAGTTACCATTGGTATATTCTCAAATTCTGAGAAATGAAGTACCATTCTCAAAATAATGATGGTTTGGATTTCACCATGTACAATCAATACATTTGCAGAGCTTTTCATGATACCCAGGAATGTTTCAAAACCTTCCTTCACCATTTGATCAGCAAATACAGAAAAAGTTAGCTGAGGGAATCTTTGTATGATATCAAAGCAGATGCCTCTTTTGGAGAATGTAGGGAGCACTTCCTGGACAAATCTCTCTCCGTTAACATCATTCAGATAAACCACTCCAACCCATCTCCAATTGAAATATAGCAATAACCTCAGAATACCCTCATATTGGAGTGCCACACTTGGGAACATCTGCTGAAAAAAAACTCCTTCGGTTTGTTTCTCCATCAATAGAGCAGAGCCATATGTGAGCTAAATAAAAAGAGAACATTGGAAAAGATGTTTCCAAAACAAAAAAAAAAGTATGGGTGTTGTCCATACATGTTGCTGATGCTGATGAATAAATTCTTTTGTTCTATTTTTCATTATTTTGTTATTGTTCACAATTCAACTTTTCTGTATCTGGGTTTCAAATTGCAAAAAACCCCTAATGCATCAATTTTTACCATTTTCTTATGTAAGGCAAGAGTTTCTTCTGCCCCACATCAGGTTGTATGAATTTATTTATATGAATGTGGCTGTCAAATCATGTCTATTTCCTCTTCACATGACATGATCTACCTCAATGAAGAAATAAACAGACAGCTCAAAATGGAATTCATAAATTCTTTCCCAGAATGAAGAGTTCTATTTAAGTTAAATCTTTGGATTTTTATCTATTTTGTTCACTTTGTTCCATAACTTGGTCAGAAAAATGCCTCAAAGTTTAGAGATGGTGCTCTCCCTTTTTAAGTACTTAAGGTATATTCACATTGCCTACCTGTGGGATCTTGTACATGCAGAGAATTGTTGCCATGTTGAGACAAACATCAGAGTTAGGTCCCCCAATGACTGCTACCAGATTATTTTGAGCATCACATTTGTAATTTGGAAAGAATTTGTCTTTTGTGGACAGAAGTTCCATAGAAGCAAGATAAATTACACTGGCACTGAAATCATTATTGTAGATATGGAAACCCAGAGTGATGTTAGGTAAGAGTTGGGTGTTGTCATTGATCTCCTTTAAAGCAAATTCCAAAGTCAAGATATGTTGGTAGTTCTGCTTCATGACTCTACAATGAGAAAAAATAATAGCTTAAAAATGATCTCTTATTTGAAATTAAATTGCTTGGTCCTTGTCCTTATGATTTCTCTAAAGAGTTTTTTCAGAATGCTAATATGCTTCAACCACATTAAAACACAAAACATGTGAAATTATTTTCCAAATATCTCTTGGTGTTTTTTGTTAGAATAGTTTTGTATGCTTTCATTTTTGAAGCTCTTTCTCTAGTTTCTAGTGAACCTGAAGAGCCCAAGTACTTCTGGGGACTTCAGTAGAACTTTCTATAATCCTTTTTTTTTTTTGGGAAGACTGTTTTGCATGATTTCATAGCACTCCAAAAAGTTGAATGAAGTTAATGATTTTAGAACAGACATTTTTCAGAGAGGTATACCTAACTTCTTCAGTATGGTGCTCAAAGTTGAAATGGTCACAAAATCTCATTGAGCTAATAAATCAGTGCCTCTCACGTTCTTATTATGGTGACCTCCATACATTTCAGATTTCAGTGATTTGCTGAACACTGAAAATAGGCAGAGCCATCATCTTAAGTCCTATTTTCAATCACATTTTTGGACTGTGATTAAGAAAAGATAAAAATACAGAGCTTTGGCAAAGGGACACATTATTGTGTTGAAGTGTTAAGTGAGTTCAAATGTGACTGCAATGTTTAATACCCATGACCATAATTTTATGAAAAGTTACAAAACTACTCTGGTTTCTTCTAGGAAACTCTCTGTGAATTTTTGATTTCCTTATTGCCTGACTTATTTTTAGAGGAAAAAGAATAACACCTACAGGATCCATGGCTATCATGGTGGGTGGATCATTTTCTCCCTTTATTACCCTCAAATAAATGAAAGTCACCCAGATTAAGACTGAGAATATTGTATTTAAGATGCTACCTTGAACTTTTCCTTGCTACTTATTCCTCTCTCATTCTTCAAGTTGTGCAGAACATCCAAATTAACATTGGGAATATTACAGATAATAGGGCAAGTTTAAAATAGTTTCTCCATGTAATATCTCCATTCTTCAACCACTGTAGAAGATTTTTAGACCATTTACATGGAGCACACAAAGATTAGGATGAGAGAATTAGTCTCGCAAACAAGTCCTTAATTCAATTTACAACACTGACATGTAAATTATATTAGAATGTGTGTACATGCTTCTTTCTACTCTTGCTAAAACATTCTCTGAAACATTCAAAGATATGTATTATCCAGAAGTATGGTAGCAGAAAATAGTAATTTGTAGATCCATCTCAGAAGAAAGAATTCCTAATCGCTTCCCTTCAAAATGTCCCAGAATGGAAATTTGGAAGGACAAGGAAATAATTATGATGTTGAAAAGAAACATTCATAACTTTAAATACTTAGAGTATAAGGCAGAAATATGGCCCTCTGCCTCCATTCTTAGAAAAGAAAAAGAAATCTCATTTTTTTCTACTGAACAACTAAACAAACCTGCAACAAAATCCCACCCTTCCCAACACACAGCAACAGATGTAGATTATAATTGGAAAGCACATGCAGCAGGATTAAGAAAATCAAATGTCTTACACAAAGTCACCAAAGAGTGCAGATGAAGGACGCTTTTTATAGGAAGTAGGATTTGAAAACCGGTAAGTATGAGAAATAATTACAGCCATTATGAGATCTCCAGACTTATAATACTTATGATGAATAGGAAGAGGCTCACTAACATTGCATCTAAAGTTAGGAATCTTGCACACCGCCAATGGAAGTAGCACTAATACCAACAACACCAGGGCTATCATCTTCCATGCAACTCTTCTGACTAGAAAACAAAGTCAGAGACCAGGAGGTCTCTGTATAGCACTGTTCAACCTGAGTGGTTGCTAACTGTGAGAACTGAAGTCATGACTGTTCTCTGTAAATTATCTTTCATCCAACTGAGGAAGAATTATAGATGTAATCTCTAGCTTTCAATGATCAGTAAATACATTTTAATATTGGCTTGTTGTTTTTCCAATAGATCTAATAATCCCCCAAGGAACCGAGAGGTCAACATAGCTAATTTCATAATTGCATGGGGAAAATATAGCTATTATCATTAGCAATTAGTGACAGTGTTTCTTTGAGACTTTGAAAATATGTGAACATGTTCCCTGGATTTGAATTAAATTTTGTAGGACAGAAAAAATGTACCTAGTTTTTAAACCAAAGAGAGGAGGGAGGGAGAAAGAGAGAGAGGGAGAGGGAGAGAGAGGGGAGGCTTTTATAAAAAAGAAAATTAAACACTTTCTAAACCAGGTTACAAGATAATTGCATGATCAGGAAGATATGTCATTTCAAGCACCAATTTTATAACACAGAAGAATATTTGGAGAGACTGAATAGAGATCCATACAAAAGTTGGTTGTTCTCAGAACTGATTATATATATTTTTTGAATTCTGTAGACATTGTCCACACTGCATGCTTTGGATGGACTCACAAGGAGTTCTCAGTTGTAAAATAAAGAGGAAAATATGCATGTGAAAGACATCTACATTTATCTGTCTCTGTGTGACTGTGTTGTGTTTCAATGGGATGGGGAAAGAATAGACTGATATGGATATAATGAAAATCAGGATTAATAGTCTTATGGCAGTTCCTGCATAAATGTAAATGCTCCTGAAACACAATGTTTGGTCAGTGAGGGAGCCAGATAACATCAAGTTGATAATCTAAACCAGTGGTGGCGAACCTATGGCACGGGTGCCAGAGGCGGCACTCAGAACCCTCTTTGTGGGCACGCGCGCCGTCGCCCCAGTCCTAGGCCTTCAGCTGGGTTTATAAAACCTTTTCGCTTTAGGCCTCCGCCGCTGTGTGCAAAAAAAAAAAAAAGGTTCAATCAATGAGTCAATTTCAACTTCTCGCGGGAAAAAAAACCACCGCAGCCACGCCCACCCAATGGGCCACACCCACCCAATGGGCCACACCCACCCGGCACCCGACAATGCATAAGTGGGTTTGGGGTTGCAGTTTGGGCACTCGGTCTCTAAAAGGTTCGCCATCACTGATCTAAACCAACCTAATTATTTCTGTTAAATGAGCAAAGGAACATGCAGGTATTCTCTCTTTGTCATTTGAAGTGATGAGCAGCTTCCCAGAAATAGAAGGAATAATCAAAAGTTTGTACCACTAAAAGAGGCTAAAGAAAGTGAGATTAAAGTGTCATAATTTTATTTGTAAATTTCATTAAAGATCTAAATTAAATACTCACACACTTAAAATAATCTCTACACTAAAGAGAGATTATACTCTCTCCCTCCCTCCCTCCCTCCCTCCCTCCCTCTCTCTCTCTCTCTCTCTCTCTCTCTCTCTCTCTCTCTCCCCCCTCTCTCTCTCACACACACACACAATTTTTAATAAAGAATGTCAGAATTTCTTTAAAAGTTCTGGGATCAGAATTTGAGAATTTGAATTTTCCTCATTAAGCATATAAAATAGCTGACATGTCACACTTTTTAACACAATTAAAAGGTTATCTTATCATTTTTTGCTTGCACAGAAATGGGATATTTCTTAAATATTTAAAGATAGCAATGCCTTCTAGAAGAATTTGTTTTTAGGTTACATGTACAAAAATGTTGACAAGAAGGAACACTAAAAGTGAAGAGCCAGCTTTTACATAGAGGCATCAACAGCTGAAATAGCACATACTGTATAAGGGTTAAAACCAGAGAAACCTATTCATCAACGTGAAATCCTCAGACAGCACCCATTTTTCTGCAGTTTTTTTGCTAATAAATTTACAGTATTTCAGCTACATTGTTCAGATTTTATTTTTTTCTTGTTAGCTGCTCCCTCGTGTTCAGATTTGGCTTCAGCAAAATGATGTAGCATTTGGGGAAAAAGATGCAACTCAGTATCCCAAAACTGGAGGCCAAAATGGAGAAGATTTCTACAGCCACCATGTACTTCCCTTTGGTACTTAGGTAAGTTGGAACAAAAGACATCCAAACACTGCAAAATAGCAACATGCTGAAGGTAATAAACTTGGCTTCATTAAATGTGTCAGGCAATCTCCTGGCCAAAAAAGCCACTACAAAGCTGACAATGGCCAGGAAACCCATAAAGCCCAAGACACAGTAAAACATGAATGCTGAACCTTCATTACATTCTTCAATAATTTCTGCTGCCATTGAATGCATGTCAACATCTGGAAATGGGGGAAAGGTGACCAGCCACACAGTACAAATGGTGACTTGAATCAGTGAGGAGGAAAGAATGATGAAATTGGCCAATCCTTTGCCCACCCATTTTTTCATCCTGGACCCTGGCTTGATAGCAGTAAATGCTAGAACTACCACAATGCTTTTGGCCAAGATGCAAGAAACTGCTATTGAGAAAATCATGCCAAATGCAGTTTGTCGAATGAAGCAAGTCAACTTCTCTGGGTGGCCAATGAAGAGGAGAGCAGAGAGGAAGCAGAAGAAGAGTGAACTGAGGAGCACATAGGTCAGGTTCCGGTTGTTGGCTTTGACGATGGGAGTGTCATGGTATTTAAAATAGATGCCCAGGATGAACACAGATAGACAAGTAGCACAAAGAGCAAAACTGGCCAAAGTGCTGCCCAAGGGTTCTCCATATGACAAGTAGGTTTTCTTCTTTGGAATGCATGAATTCTGGGTAGGGTTTGGATAATGATCATCTGGACATTGACTGCAGACATCCATATCTGAAATACACAAACTGGATTTCTATGAATATTCTACAACATTCTATCTTCTGGTTAAGTGCTATATCATTCCAGAATATAATTTTCATTATCTAAAAAGTTGTACATATTTTTCACACTATTAAATAAAACCAAGAAAGAAATATCATTTAAGAAAGTCATGGTGTATTAGTCTATGTGAATTTGTGCATTTGGATCCATATCCTTCCCTCTGTTTCCTGGAAGAATTAAATAAACCAACATTCCCTTGCATGGTCCATGCAGTAAGTCCTGGATTCAAGAAGATTCTTCAAATACACTTCATCACAACATTGAAATCCCATAGGCCAGCATTGAAAACATATATTCACTTAATATCTACCGAGTTTAACCCCAAAAATGCCTGGAGAGAAGAAACCTTCTTGGACCTAACCATTACTGATCCCTCTAGAAAACCACCTGGTTTTAATCTGCTTTGCTCTGTCTGGTCAAAATGGAATAGAATTAGGTGTAATAGTGGAAGCTGTGCCTCTTCCCTGTATCAGTGGGGATGAAAAGATTCCCCTTGCTGTGATTGTGGTGCTGATATGCAAAGTATTAAATGTATTGAGCAAGATTGCTCAGGACGATGAAATCTCTGGTTGCCTGGAAGAGCTGCACAAAGCAACGCCAGAGACGATCACCTGGCTAGCTAACTTGGACATCCAATTATGAGGCCACTACCTCATACTTATATGGATTGTATGGATTGTATGTTCACTTCTCTTTGGTCATGTTCTCATTGTATGCTAAATAAATAAATAATCACCGCAAACACTTTTGCATCATCTTAATCAACAATTTTGAAGAGTAGACTTTCAAATGCATCTCCAGAAGTAACATAAAAAAATACTTTTACAGTCCTCATTATTGTGTTTCTTATTTAGTAGTAGTACTGCTAAAAGTTTAATAATACTGCTTAATTATCTTGAAGTGATATGCCTGATGTGTTTGTGCTGGTTGGTATCTGAGTATCACAATTTATTCTATTATACAGACATGTATGCACATACAGAAACAAACTGAGAAAGAAGTCTAGGAGTAATAATAGTGGTCCACACCGAGGGAAAAGGAAAGCAATGTTTATTTCTTCCATTGCTTTAAGTGATCTGAAATCAATCAATAAATCAATTAATTAATCAATCAATCTCTCTTTTTCCCTACTTATCTCTGGAGTCTTGGTAGAGCAACGGTAAAGTGCAATATTGCGAGCAAACTCTGCCCATGACCTGGAGTTCGATCCTGACCAGCATAGGGTTGACTCAGCCTCCCACTCTTCTGAGGTCAATAAAATGAGGATCCAGATTGTTAGTGGCATTATGCTGTAAAGCATTATGAGGCTGTATATAAGACTAAAAGAGTAGACTAAAGCTACCCTTAAGACCTGTAGAATAAGTCAATTTTAATAGACTTTGTAAAATAGGGTTGGATATATAGACAATACTGTACCATAATCTGATTATTTGCTATATTGTCATCTTAGAATCTTTATCCAGGATTTCTTACCCTTTTGATTTGCAATTTTCCCTTCTGGACATGGAAAGCAATCATAGCAACAAAATGGCTTCCCTTCTTTCTTTGCCTTACTAGTCCCCATTTGGCATATATCATTACATAGTGAAAGAGGCTTTGTCTGTGGAAAAAGGAAAGAAGAACCAGATACTGGGAAGTACATCTTTTTGAACTGATATATAATTCACTTACGAGTTGAATGGGATAACCTACTTATTTTGAGGAAATGTATGGTGTTCTGTATACTCTTCAGATGGAGTCTTGAACTGCATGAGTGTTTCAAGAACCCATGAAATATACCAAATCAGATTAACAAAGACCATAAAGTTTTAATTTTTGCAGAAGTTAAAAAACAGAAGGACAGAATCCAGATGTTTCCCAATTCATGTTTCAGGATGGGAATAGTTTAGAATAAGTTGCCTCTTGGATGTCTGAATATTTTGGCTATTTCAGAAACCAGGATCAAGCCACAATATGTATTGGGTGATTCTTGCATGGTCTTGGCACCTTTCTACATTTCAAATTCCGTTAATTTTTTGGGGGGATGGCATGTTGGGTGTGCATCTTACCTGGTTGAATTGGCAGGGCCATTGAATTTCTTCTGCATGAATGGTGAAGCCTTCCTTGGGAAGAGTCATGGGTTCTATTTTACCAACTTTAATTCTTTGAAAGGAGTGGTTTGGGAATGTGACCCAATTGATAATATCAAATCCTGCTATTAATGAGCCATTTTCATCAAAGGAAACTTTTTCACCAGCAGAATTGTTAAATGAAACACTTCTCAGAAAGTGATGGAACTGAGATCAGGAATCAGGAAAATAAATGAAAGAAAATCAATCAATCAGAATAGAGTTGGTAGGGATCTTGGAGATCTTCTAGTTCAACACCCTGTTCAAGCAGGAGATCCTATATGATTTCAGACAAGTCTCTTCTTAAAAACCTCCAGTGATGAAGGACCCACAACTTTTGAAAGCAAGCCACTCCACTGGTTAATTGTTCTCACTGTTAGGAAATTTCTCCTTAATTCCAGGTTATTTCTCTTGATTAGTTTCCATCCATTATTGGAAACAATGTAAATTGTAAACAGAATATGAAAAGAAGACCTAAGATAGAAGTTGTTCAAACTAGAAATTTACAAATAATCTGTCTCCTAAATGTTTTATTTAGCTTAATAAAAATATCACTGTGCTAAGCAAATTTATCTCTGTGTTGCTTATTGTTGTCTTCTTGTCACATTATTTAACATAATCACCACGGTCAACATTACGTTTAGTCCATGTTAACTATATTAGATAAAGTAAAGTGACAAGAAGAAATAATGAAACAGCTGAATGCTGGAGTAATGTTATTTTATAGTATTTATTTGGAAGCTTAAATAAATGTATCAGAAGAAAAAAACAAAACAGGGACATCAGTAATAAGAAGAGAATCACATCACTTAATATATTCTTATTTATTTAAGAATATATATTCTTAAGTAGATGTAATGATGAACTCCATATAAAATGAACTTATAAAATATAATTTAGATTTTTAAGACAGTCGTTGACCTAGATTATACTTTGCTCAGACCAGTATATACAATCAGTAGTGGGATTCAAATATGTAAACAACCAGTTCTCTGTGTGAATGCCATTTCCGGAAATCCATTCTGGGCCTGGGCAACAAAAAAATAGCTATCAGTTAAGCCGAAGTGGTGCGAACTGGCTGAATCCCACCACTGCATACAATCATTAAGAAGAAATTTATGTCTAAGCCTGATGAGCAGTTACCTTCCACAAAGATAGATGCAAAAGTTTCCATCCTTCTCTCTTTGTTCTTGATCTGTACCTGGACTCACTTGAATGCATATCATGTAGAGCATGAGCTACAGCATGAACAGCATTATAGATGCTGTAGCTGTGAGTGGTCAGGCTTGTTTCAAAAACAGATACAGGAAGAGAGTCTAGTTTTTCTTCCCCAGTGCAGATTTTGCTCCCCTCTCTTCCCAGAGAAACAGGAAATACACAGTTAAAAGCTTGTTCCCAAAACGCTTTGATGAAGCCATCTTCTCTTCCACCTTTAGGATTTCTGACTTGAACAAAGTTCTGGAAGCCAAACAATTCCTTTTTGTGCACTGCAAGTGATAAAGCACCATGTATGAAATCTAAGTTCCAATCATCTTGAAGGGGAATTGATGTGAAATCCATTTGAGCTGTCATAATCCAGATCTTTGTCGCCATTGGTACATTCTCAAATTCTGAGAAATAAAGCACTGTCCTCAAAACGAAGAAGGTCTGAAGTTCACCGTGGACTATAAATACATTTGCAGTGCTTTTCATGATAAGCAGGAATGTGTCGAGTGCCTCCTTTAGCATTTGCTCAAACAATACAGATAAAGTTAGCTGAGGGAATCTTTGTATGAGGGCAAAGCAGATGCCGCTTTTGGAGAACATAGGAAGGACTTCCTGTATGAATCTCTCTCCATTAACATCATTCAAGTAAACCACTCCAACCCATCTCCAGTTGAAATATAGCAGTAACTTGAGAATACCCTCATACTGGACTGCCACACTTGGGAACATCTGATGGAAAAAGACTCCTTGAGTTTTTTTCTCCATCACTAGATCTGAACCATATGTGAGCTAAATCAAAAAGGGAGCACCAGAAAAGATATTTTCACAATAAAGCAAGAAGGTGTGTTTGTGTGTATGTATTTGTTGATCATCTATTCTTAAACTTATTTTCTTTCTTTCTCCATTTTCTTGTTCACAGTTCACTTTTCATGTGATTCCTTTTTCAAAAGGGCAAAAAACTCCCTACCATTTTTTTTCATTTGCAGTTTGTGTGGAAAATGATAAAATAAAGGAGCTTAATTGCCTGCACTGATTTTTCCTGAATGGGGCTAACAGTCATGCAGAACTGCTCTTAATCTTCATGTTGCAATTTAGCTGCATAAAGAAAGGAATAGACAGAAATTTGTGCATGGTGTCCCTGAATCAAAAATTTCTTTTAAAATTAAATCCTTGAATTTATTTCTATTTATTTTTCTCATCCTTAGATAACAAAAATATCTCAAATTTGCCAGGAGAGGTTTGCACCTCTATTGCAATATCTATTTTTTTTCATACTGCCTACCTGTGGGATCTTGTACAGACAGAGAATGGTTGCCATATTGAATTTGACATCACAGTTAGGTCCCCCAATAACTGCTACTAGATTATTTTGTGCATCACATCTGTAATTTGGGAGAAGTTTGTCTTTTATGGAGAGAAGTTCCATGGAAGCAAGATAAATAGTCCTTGCCCTGAAATCATTATTGTAGATATGGAAGCCCAGAGTGATGTTAGGTAAGAGTTTGGCATTGTCATTAATCATCTTTAAAGCAAATTCCAAAGCCAGAATGTGTTGGTAGTGCTGTTTTAGGACCCTATGATGAGAGGAATGGACATTTTATAATTTTGAAGTTTCAGCAAAGAAGTTGATTGAATTTGGAATGCTTGGCCCTAGGTTTTGAATACTCCCACTACATCCCTTAAGATCCTTCCACTCCAGAATAGTAGAATTCTTCAGGAGGTTTAAGATGCAAAACTGTTTAAATGTTTTTCTGGATACCCCCAAGATTTTTTTTTCCTTAGAATGTTTTTTTTTTTTGTGTTCTTCCCTTTTTGAAGGCCTTTGGACATGGTTTTTTTTAAAGTTTGGGGGTGTTTGCTTTAGTTTTTTTTTAAGAAACAATGAGCTTGGAGAGTTCAGAGTCCAGGAATAGTGAATGTGAAGACCATAAGCTTTCTGAAGTATTTATCAGGACCTCTTTTACTGCTTTACCTTCAGAAAACAGTTTTGCCTGGCTCCATACAGTTGCAGTGTCAAAATTGGGATATCTATCTGTATGATTTGAGAAGTGAGATTTTGGCAGACTAGTATATCTGAAGCTCACATTCAACAAGAGAACTAATCAACTACATTGATTATATGGAGTTCACTGATAAGAAACCTTTAGCCATGGAATTAATTAAGCCCTAACTTAGATATGAAACCCAGCAGAAAATATTCCTTGGATAAGAGTTAAGGCATCAGCCAGCAGTTCCAAGTCTGAAATCCTGAAACACATGCTGGGCAGATCTCTACACTCTGACAAGGATCCTACAGTTACTTTTGTTTAATATTAACTTGGAATGCAAACAATACAGGAAATTATCATCAAACAAATACAATATAGGCTCAAACACTGTAACACCAAACAGGGAGAAGCAAGGAAGTTACCTCAGATGATCTGCCCACACTGAGCTATGCTCTAAAATGGATAAGACTATGTCTACATCAGTATAGGATTATTTTGAAACCTTAGAATTGGGGATGGTATTTTCTGTCTGTCTGTCTGTCTGTCTGTCTGCTGTCCAGCTAGATAGATATCTAGATATCTAGATATCTATCTAGCTCTACATATTTATTTATTTAGCATCTGTCTGTCTGGTATCTGTCTGTCTATCTAGCTATCTAACTCTACATATCTATTTATTTAGCATCTGTATGTCTGTCTATTTAGCTATCTAGCTCTACAATCACTTAAATATGAGCCAGCAATGTGCTGCAGCTGCCAAAAAAGCCAACACAGTTCTAGGCTGAATTAACAGAGGGATAGAATCAAGATCACGTGAAGTATTAATACAACTTTACAATGCCTTGGTAAGGCCACACTTGGAATACTGCATCCAGTTTCAGACACCACAATATAAGAAAGATGTTGAGATTCTAGAAAGAGTAAAGAGAAGAACAACAAAGATGATTAGGGGACTGGAGGCTAAAGCATATAAGGAATGGTTGCTGGAATTGGATATGTCTAATTTAATGAAGAGAAGGACAAGGGGGGACATGATAGCAGTGTTCCAATATCTCAGGGGCTGCCACAAAAAAGAGGGAGTCAAGCTATTCTCCAAAGCACCTGAAGGCAGGACAAGAAGCAACGGATGGAAACTAACCAAAGAGAGAAGCAACCTAGAACTAAGGAGAAATTTTCTGATAGAACAATTAATCAGTGGAACAACCTACCTCCAGAAGCCGTGAATGCTCCAACACTGGAAGTTTTTAAGAAGAAACTGGACAGCCATTTGCCTGAGCAGGGGGTTGGACTAGATGACCTCAAAGGTCCCTTCCAACATTATTATTATTATTATTATTATTATTATTATTATTATTATTATTATTATTATTATTATTATTATTATTGTTGTTGTTGTTGTTGTTGTTGTTGTTGTTGTTGTTGCTGCTGCTATTTAGCATCTGTCTGCTGTTTGTCTGTCTATCTATCTATCTATCTATCTATCTATCTATCTATCTATCTATCTATCTATCTATCTATCTATCTATCTATCATCTAATTTACATGGCTGACCATCTCACAAAAAAGTTACTCTAAGCAGCATATAGTACTTAGTCAAACAATAAATAGACAAAATAAGCCATTATTAAAATTGTGTGTCGGATGTATCAAAGCTTACTAAATGTGGTATTTCTTGCTGTAGTTACGTTTCTTTCTGTTAAATTTTCATTAAAATAAAATAAAATTCTTTTTGTTATTTTAAGACCTTCATCTTATCACTTTTTCTCTATATGGGTAGTAATTATTTCACACATTGAAGCAAGCAGAAACCAAAGCCCATCAAATCCATAAAAGCTTCTAACCTGGAGCATGTGTTTGCTGAGTGACCTATGCCCAGAATACCCTCATCCTTAATAAACATTTCATATGGGAACTGAGTAGTGATATATTGTTAGACCTTAACCCAAAAAATAGACACAGGTCTCCTAGGTAATTGTACTCCTACAAAGCAATACAATTGCCTTTAAGTGATAATATTGGGCTTTCAGCTTTTACCATTTTATTAATTTATAGGGACACAAATATAGACTCATTTTCAAGCTTGCTGAGTTTTACATCAGGCACAGCAAACCAACTGTAACTCTTCAGCATGAGTCATAATTTTAGAAATGGTCACAAAATCTCATTTGTTCAGCAAATAAATCAGTGACCCTCATGTTCTTTTGAATTGGTCTATATCAATGGTGGGATTCAAATATGTGGTTCTCTGTGTGGATGCTACTTCTGGAAGTCCATTCTGGGCCTGGGCAACAAAAAATTAGCTAATGGCTCTGCCGAAGTGGTGCGAACCGGCTGAATCCCACCACTGGTCTATATTCATTCTAAATATCAAAGTGATTTACTAGATATTGAAAACAGAGAGAGTCAACATTCTAACTTGTAGTTTTTAATAAGATTCATTTCTTGGATAGTACCTAAGAAATGAATAAAAATACTGGAATTAGTCTTGTCTACCATTCAAAAGTTGATGTGAAATATTCATAACTATAATTGCTGATTAATAATACAGAAGGGTATATCATCTATAGGATGCTTCAGGAAGATTCTTACTTCTTATTCTCTATATTGCTTCAGTTATAAGAAAAAAAATAGCAACAACTCCATTTAATTCATAGTACCTTTCTCAAATAAAAGGGGAACATCCAGATTAAGACTAAACATATAACAGGGTAAGTTTAAAACAGTCTCTCCTTTTATCTTTCCCATTCTTCAACCTGACTGCATACTTCTTTTTACTCTTGCCATAATGTTCTCTTAAAAATTATTTCACACCCAATGGATAGATAGCAGAAAATAATTTTAGATCAAAGAACTAATGTGCCTCCCTTTCAAATGTCCTAGAATACAAGACAAGTAGGTTGTTCTCACTGTAAAGAGAAATTTCCTGACAGTGATAATAACAAAATAACAGAGTTGGAAGGGACCTTGGAGGTCTTTTAATCCAACTGCCTACTCAAGCATGAGACCCTGTACCATTTTACACAAATGGTTATCCAGTCCCTTCTTAAAAGCCACACACATCCACAAATTCTGGAGGCAAGTTGTTCCACTGGTTGGTTTTTTTTTCCATCAGGAAATGTCTCCTTAGTTCTAGGTTGAGAACAGTGAGTTAGTGGAATGGCTTGCCTTCAGAAATTGTGGGTGCTCCATCACTGAAGATTTTAAAGAAGAAATTGGACAATCATTTGTCTGAAATAGTATAGGGTCTTCTGCTAGTCCAGGCGGTTGGACTAGAAGATCTCCAAGATCCCTTCCAACTCTGTCATTCTGTTAATTTGGAGAGACAAATGGCAGCCAAATGACTATGGTGTTGAAAGAGATCCTTGATTGCATAAGATTGAACCAGCAGAAATACGTCCCTGAAAGTTGACTGTTTCACAATGGAGTCTGCCTCCATTCTTAGAAAAAAGGAAATAATAATAATAATAATAATAATAATAATAATAATAATAATAATAATAATAATAATAATAATAATAATAATAATAATAATAATAAAAAAGTTGGAAGGGACCTTGGATGTCATCTAGTCCAACCCCCTGCTCAGGCAGGAAACCCTATACCATTTTGGACAAATGGCTGTCCAGTCTCTTCTTAAAAACTTCCAGTGTTGGAGCATTCACCACTTCTGGAGGCAGGTTGTTCCACTGGTTAATTGTTCTAACTGTCAGGAAGTTTCTCCTTAGTTCCAGGTTGCTTCTC